CATGCAAAAGTCTTCCCTTATCCTTCTTCCCCTTCCCTACTTCACCTTCCTTTTCATCCTCATTGCTCCCTTTTTTTCTCCCTTTCCCCGTCACGGCCGGAGACTTACTGGCCCACCGACTGTTCACGATAGGACGATGGTGACGGTGTACCTCGCCCCGAGATCCAGCTGGACCGACGCTGCAGCATACTTCAGCGAGAAATTCCTGCAAATTCTGGCGCCTCGTGGTGCCATCCGATATGCACCGGGGATCTTGGACGGTTCAGAAGCTCGGGAAATTCTTTTGCATGCGTCCCACGATCGTCAAAATGACCGCTTAATCGGCTCATTCTTTCACCAGGGACCGAATTCCCTCTCACCTTGACAATCTGCCACTTCCCGTCCAGGCGCCATCGATAGGCGTACAAGGAACATCGGGTTGCTAGGAGATCACGGAATATCGAGGAGGTGCCACTCGCATCGATCGCTGTCGTCGGCTTTTCATCGCACTAGGAGTCTCCACCCAGTAGAGATTTAGAAATGTTCCGCTGCTCCTCCGCTGTTTCTTGCTTTTCGCGAGTGAATCTGAGGAAGTGTGGGCAACGTGATTATGAAAGTTCCTGGAATTTATTTTTTGAATCTCTAATTCACATGTTAATCTCTTCCACAGGGCAATCGACAGCTAGTAAAATTCATCTCTGGATATTGGTGCGTAAAAACTCTCATTTTGACCTTCACACATAGAAGTATAATTTTCGAAGGGATAATTATTGTATACGCCTGTTGTTACAGCCGACCTGTACAATATTTGTGAGTAAGGTAGCGAGTATTAGGAAATGTGCGGCGTTGAAAGAGCAGAAAAAGGTTTGAAGAATCCAATCGCTAGTAATTCACGCCAAAGATTTAGATCCAAGACCAAACCCACTGATCTTCTGGCGGAAGTGCTTTAACGAGAATCCAAGGAAATGGAATCTGTATTGTCGATTATCGTCTCCTTTGGAGGATATCGCGAGGAAAGTTACTGGGATTCATGCTAATCAACCCAGTTCTGTTGGAAATTTTTCAGAAATCCCGACAAAAAAATCCAATCGAGGCGAAGAGAGAAAATGAAGGAAACCCAGTGGAAGGGGATGGAGAAGTTGGACGATATTCAGTGAACGAAAGAAAGGAGAGCCTTCGTTCTTTCTTTCCGCTATTTCATAGAGTATTGATGAAAGTCAGGCCAAAAATCGTCAAAGTTTTCCAGTTTTTAGTCATCTTTGTCATTGGAGGCTGGTATTTGTCACGTCGATTCGGAGAAAATGGAAAATCCGGGAACATCATCAAGGAAAGGTTCACCATCGTTCTCGTCGGAGAGACGGGGAGCGGAAAATCCACCCTCGGGAATATCCTCCTCGGCTTGGCCCACGACGATGGAGAAAACGGCTTTCCCACGTGCAAGGGCAAGGGCAAGGGCAAGGACAACTGCACCCTCGACGTGAAGGCCATCGAGGGAAACTGGCTTGGCGGACCCGATAGACCCATCCGCGTCGTCGACACGCCGGGACACGGAGACGGGAAGAACCGCGGCTCGGAACACAGACGCAAAATAGTGAAATCTCTGGAAGGAGAGAAAACAGTACACGCCTTCGTGTGGGTCAAGAACTCCCAGCAGCCGACGTTAAACCTACAGGAAGCCGTTTCTTTCAAGTTCATTTCGGATATTTTCCACGACCTAGCCGTCGTCTTCACCCGATGGGACCTGGACGAAAAACAGCCGGCTAATAGCGGAATCACTCTGGAGGAATTCAAGAAGGAACTCTGGAATTCCGTCACCGGCGGTCTCGAAACCAAGCCGGAGATCCCCATGATTTCCATCGACGAGAAATCGAACACGTACGAGGGAAAGTTTCTCTCGGAATTGAACGCTCTCTGGAATGCAATCGTCAACTTCGACGCCGTGCCGGTGCGACTCCTCGATACCGTCCTCGCAAAAATAGAGAATGGAGAGAAAGTCGCGGAAGAATACGAGCAGGCTTTGCAAGAAAAAAAGAAGCAACCCCAACCGAACGAGGAGTCTCGACTGAAATATGAGAAACAAGCCGAGGAATCAAAGAAACAAGCCGAGGAATCGAAGAAACAAGCCGAAGAATCAAAGAAACAAGCCGAAGAATCAAAGAAACAAGCCGAGGAATCAAAGAAACAAGCCGAAGAATCAAAGAAACAATTGGAGCAGGCCCGAGAGGAAAACGAGCGGCAATCGGCCGAAACGAAAGAACAATTCGAGCGTGCCCGAGAGGAAACCCTGAAACTAAAGGAGATGCTCCACGAACTATCCGAAACATCCGCGTGGTCTTCGGACTTAACAGCGCTTCTGGTCTTAGCATCCATCGAAGTTCTTGTAACCATCGCAGCCCTCGTCTGCTGCTCACGGCCTTGCCGTCGCAGATGAGCCTCGATCCCGATCTCAGCCGCTTCGCCTCGCTCGGCCTCGCTCGAAATGAAAATGAAATGAAACGAAAAAATTTCCTCGCCGATTCCCAGCCTCTCGTCGCTTGAAAACTTCCTCAAACTTCCGCAATTGCTGATGTTTTTCGTGAAGCAAACAGTGCCGGCGTTCAAGTGGCCCAATGATTCTGACGAGCCAATGAAACCGAAAAGAAATAAACATTGGCTTTTCATTCCATACGAAAAATTTTATTTGGTTTTAATACAGCCATCCCCCGAAGTTACGTCGTAATTTGTTCCGAGACCGGCGACGTAAGTCGAGACAGATTTTCCAATAAACGCAATGTTAACATGTGGAGTGTGGTTCCAGACTGTATTGGGTCTGGGGGCAAACGATAAAAAAGTTTTAAAAAGTCGGGGGATGACTGTATTCGCTTTGTCGATTATGAGGGGACATTTTGCCTCTCATCATGGCTATTTAAAGGAAGAATAATGTTTTTTTTTTCAAAATATGTTCACCATATGACAATGAAGGCTGGACATTTAAGATTTTTTATTTCATTTCTCCACGTTTCATTTCTCATTCGATTCAGACACACCCAGGAAAATTTCCTGCCTTTCCTGTCATAGCCGAATCTCCACCGTGGAGAAAATACGGAAACCGCTCACCCACTAGTTTTGCTAAGATTTTTATTTCGATTTTTTTGTACAATTTTTTTTATGAGGCAGTTTTTCAGAAATGTTTTCAGCTTAGTTCATTTCTTCATGATTTTCACAATTCCCGTATTCGCAGGCAATTGTGGATTTCAATTGGAAATATTGAGAAGCGAAACATTCTTAGGAAAGAGATGGTGTAGAAGCATTAAAGAAAGGCGTTCATGAAGGCCATCACTTCAAAGGACAGTCTCTTAAGGACAGACATTTCGAGATCTTTTGAGTCTGATAAGCCATGTCGTTATTGCTACATTTCCTTTTCAGTTTCGTTGTAATGATGCTAGAACACCGTTTTTCTGAATGAATTGCTAATTGCTACAAGCTAATGCTTGTAGCAATTCTAATGCACGAGGGAATATTTATTTATTTATTTTATAGATTTTCGTGGATTTTCCAAAAGGTAGCACCGATTTTTCATCAAGTTAAGGCAGACTTGTCGCCACAGATACAAGCGGCAGCCGAATATTTAGGAAGGTAATTCACCTCCCAAGTTGGTTTTTCTCCTTTCTCTCGCCGGGGACACGCCCATAAAATATAAAATCCTCGCGGATTTTCCCCTTCATAAATATTTCGGTTCTGGTGATTGGCAAAATGATCAAATAGATAAAATAAAATAGATAAAAATCTTCAAGCAGATCAAATGTTTTTATTATTTTTTTTCGCGACAGATCAGACCGTGCGAGGTGCATGGTGCGAACGAGAGTTTATATGAACTTTGTTGAATAGGAATCCAAAATACGACGTGTAATCTAGGTGATCCTGGCAAGAAAGCCAAAAATCGTCATCTCATGGCTACCAGCAAGAAACCTGAAGAAAACCCATCTATCATAGATCTTACTGGCAAGAAAGCCACGCACAAATTATTTAGATGCCATTGGCAAGGAATCTAGAGGAAAATTGTCATCTAGATGCTGTTGGCATTAAAGCTAAAAAAAAATTGTGTCCTAAATACTGCTGACTAGAGAGTCAGCAGCAATTCACCATCTAGACGCTGTTGACAATGAGTATCACAAGGTAAAGAAGTCATCGAGATGCTCATGACAAGAAAGCCAAGGGCAAGGACTCAGCTAGCTACCAAAAAAATCCAAAGAGAAAGTGATATCTGCACACGGCAGGCCAATAAAAATGACAGCCACTGAAAAATTTCCAACTTCAAGAAACCCATCGACAATAAACCGATCCCGTTCGCCGCAACGAAAGGGAAATGAAATCCCCCCGTGAACCTCCAAGAAGGTGGGACGCGGAAAGGGCATCCACGAAAAGCGACGCTAAAGACGACAGCCGCCCGCTCGACCGCCGGACGAGCGGAGCTTCTCGGGCCTCCATCTCGACAACGGGCAACCGTCTTTGATCATTAAACACCAATCTCGAGGAGCCCACGTAGAAGCGTGGGGCAAAATCCCCCGCTATGGTAGTGTGGTGGATTATGAGCGATGTGGACTCGACAGTCGTTTTTTTTTTTACATAAATTTCCATTGTCATGCTGCCATCGTTTTCCAAATTTTCCAAGTTTCTGCGAAATTCGTTTCCCACGCATTTTCACAAAAGCACTTACTTATTACTAAACTTTTTCTGTGGTATCAATTTTTCAATGGCTCTTTTTTTTTTCTCCCAGTGTGCAAAAGCCGGAACCATCACCAAAGGCCAAGTGTAGCCGAAAGTCAGAAAAAATTCATCCACTACATACTACTGATGTTGACGAGTGAGACGGTATCATATACACGCTACTGACAAAAATTCAAACTCAGATATGTCATCTAGGTGCAGCTTGACCGGAAATCAAAACAAGACCGAAGGAATTCCAAGATCTTCCAAACTTTTTCGCCGCTCCCAGATTTTCCGACGTCATGGAAATTCCCTCGACCATTCCAAAACGAGATTCAGGGCACGGAGCCGAAGACGGCCACTTCCTCCACGAGCAAGGCGGTGCTCACGCCCCACACGCTCTGCACCAGCACGTACCGCCCCGTGACGGGGACGGGCGAGCAGGGGACGTGCAGCACGCTCAGCGACCTCCACCAGTTGGTCTCCCGGACGGATCTGCAGAGGGCCATGGCGGATATCTCCGACTGGGTCGCGTTGCCCAGCAGGTTCGTGTTCGACACGCGCACGTCGACCGTGCCCATCGCCAAGTCTGCGATGAAACATTAAAACATTCTGGATGCGTCCCCATCCAAGAAAACGGCGATTGCAACTGAGGAAATTAAAAATGCTTCTTGATTCGCATTTACAACAGACCTAATTTTAAAATATATGTTTAATAAAAGACTGTAATTAGCCAATCGCCTCAGCGTCCAGACTGAATGCGGACTGAACTTCCCTGGCATTTTCAGATGCAAAAGAATCCTGCATTCATTTTTACTCAGACGTATTCCAATTTGTTTTAATTTCGTAGCGATGCAATTCATCACCAAACTCCGAGCGCATATCAAAACCTACCGGCAAAGGCATCATCTCAAAATGATTTTCTCTCCAAGAGCAATTTCAATCTCAGTCAAGGAAATTCAGCCGCGTTGATCCCAAACGATGGCGGTTAGAATAGCGAATCGATGAGAAATGCTTATGGCCGCGTGAATGTCTGGGGGAAATTGGTACTCCGTTTGCTTGACGGAACCAAAATCATCGGACTCGGAAAAGAGCCTGACTAGTTTCCTGCCCTCCTTTTCCCTGTGAAGGACGAAGACTTACTGGTCCACTGGCTGTTCAGGAGAAGGACGCTGGTGACGGTGTACCTCGCCCCGAGATCCAGCTGGAACCACGGCTGCATCATCGGGTTCACCTCCACCCACCTGCACCCACAGACACGAACACCTCCCACCGGAACCCTCCTCTCCGCGGAACCCGAGGACGAAGGAACTCACGAGCTGGACTTCTTCACGCAGACGTCATCGTTGAGGCACCAGTGCCCGCCCTGCGTGTCCTTCACGTCGCAGCCGTCCTTGGTCGGCGGGCTCGCGTGCGACGCGTTCGCCAAGGTCTTCACACGAGCTGCAGATTTCATCGTTAGTCAGTTTTCTTCTGTTCGTATTTTTTGCTGCCGCTTCAATTTATTCGAATATTATCTCCTTCTGTTCGTTTGGAACAGGCAAAAGGAAGACCCCTCTCTCCTCGCGAATCCCTCCCTCGCAAAACTCCAGAACATGTTCCTCTTTAAGTCCTTGCAGAAAACGCTCTTCATAATTTAACTGTTTCTTCGGAGGGAAATCCAAGCTGCGTGCTTTTGAATTATCACTATGAACCGCAGCGAACCTTCCGATTTCACTATTTTGAAATCATGCCAATTATTCTCAACCTTTTTTGGTTTTTTCCAATATTTCGTCATTTCTTTTTTCATTCCTGAAATTCCTGAAAATTGTTCCTGTGGTAAAGTCGGTCCAGTTAACTTGGTCCAGTTAAGTTGATCCAGTTAAGTTGATCCAGTTAAGTTGGTCCAGTTAAGTTGGTCCAGTTAAGTTGGTCTAGAAACCAATTAAATTGGGATTCTTCGGTGGAATTCTCACGTCTCAGGGCTTCTTCCAGCGGTGCAAGCACTTAATTCTCCGTACAGGGTGTCCCAAAAGTCGCGCGACAGCGGTGAACTTCTAGAAGCAAATTCCATTAGAAATTATCGAAGAAAATCTATCCTTGAATTTGTTCCATCTGACTTTTGGGAGACCCTGCACGTCTCAGCCACTTGTCTCGCTGGCTTACGTCCAATGTATTGGCAGATCCCCTTGTATTTGGACTTTCTCTCGTCGGTGACCCAGAGGCCGCCGTCCAAGCAAACCGCCAAGTCGTCGGTGAATTTCGGCTCCCCGCTCTTCCATTTCGAAAAGCCGACGCCACCCGACCCTACGACGAAAGATGACCCCGATAACCCTCCGATAATCCTCCGATAATCATCAGCGCGACGAGTTTGCACCGCACGCACGAACCGGCGTATCCCGGCATCTCGTCGTAGTCGAGCCAGCGGAACCGGCTCGAGTTCCACGTGTTTCTCCCCCCGATCCAGACCTTCTGCGACCCGACCCAGGCCGCCAGATTCTGGTTGGTGTAGGAGTCCGTGATCTTCGCCAGGGTTGCGTTCTGACGGACGAAAGGAAAAGCAACGCTTTCGATAACTTCCGTCACACTGTGAGTGGAGGAATTCGAAAAAACTCAGGTTTTCAAGCGCCCTCGCTATAAATAATTGCTGAAGGATTCATAGCCGAAGGATTAATTGCTCTCGGATTAATTGCTCTCGGATTAATTGCTCTCGGATTAATTGCTCTCGGATTAATTGCTCTCGGATTAATTGCTCTCGGATTAATTGCTCTCGGATTAATTGCTCTCGGATTAATTGCTCTCGGATTAATTACTCTCGGATTAATCGCTCTAGGATTGATTGCTCTTTGAATAATTGCTTGGATTTATTGCGATATTAATCCGTGGGTCCTGTCGTTCCATAAAATTTTTGCGAGCACGGCTCATTGGCTTAGCCATATTATTTTTAGATGCATTGCACGTACGAGACACCGATTTGGACGGCCGATTTTTCTCGATTCGCTTCGAAGTGCCTCAGAGGGCGCGCGAAACGCCGAAGGCAGTGGGACCTCCGCGCGGCGATTCGCGTCGTCGCGGCTCGATTAATTGGATCAATTAGGATTAATTGACCGCGCCGCGCAAGCGGAGAGAAGACTCGGCGGAAAGAGGAGCGAAGACTTGCCCTGGAGGCACATTCCCGCTCAAGGACGTCCTCCGCGTCCTCCGCCGCCGGGACGAAGTAATACCGCCCGCCGATCTGCTTCCAATCCGCCGCCGGTGACGGCGCTGCTGCGTCCGGGATCTGGAACGCACAAACTTTCGTCGGCCCTTCGTCGCCCCTTTTTTAAACTTATTAATTTTTAATGAATAATTTAATTGATGCGAAAACTGATTTTTATTTGCCTTCGAAATTATTAGCGATTAATTCCACTGAGACGATTCCCGCAAATCTCCTTTCCGCGATTTCTTCTTCGCGCATGATCGATTTCGCGGGATCAAGTGGTACGACATTAAAAAAAATACTGCCTTCGGAATTCAATGCATTAAAATAATAATTGATTTTGGTTTTACCAGATTTGGACCAGGAAAAAAGGAATTGCGACGAAATTAAGATTATATTCAGCTGCCTGCGATAAGTCGCATCAATTAATAAGACTTTTAATTAAATAATGTGCTGAAAGACTAAATTTCTCATTTTGAACGAGTTAACTCGTTGTTTTTAAATTATTTACGATTAATTAGTGTATTCGTACCCAGACGAAGGAGGTGGACCCGGTCTTGGCATTGCTGACGAAGGCCTTGCTGGGGCCGCCAGGCTTCAATTGACAGGATTTGGTCGGCTCGTCCCACTCGAAGCCGCCGCAGCCGGGAGTCTGTGGGGAAAATTCGGTCAGGAGGAGGGAAGATTTGCTTCCGGAAGAAGGGGAAGATTTGCTTCCGGAAGAAGGGGAAGACTTGCCGAGACGCATTCCCGGGTGCAGTCGGTGACTTGATTCCGTTTGAGGGTGGTCAGGGTGGACTCCTGACCGAGCACAGTCTGGCCCGCCCTCTGGAACCGGCGGGGCTGGCCCGGCAGAGGGAGGCCCAGGGCCACGACGAGGATAAGGTGCAGCATCGCCGACGTCGTCGATGCGAGTGCCTGACGATGTGTCGTTCGCCCGGGAAAGGCGACGTTAATGGATGCCACATCCTGGGGACATCCTGGGGACATCCAGGGGCGTCGACAGACGGCCCCAAGCCGCGATCACCCTGGTGACAACAATTATCGCCAATTTTTCTCAGCCAATTCTTCTCTCCATCAACAGCCGACGATCGGGGCGCGTCCCTCTCTGAGAAGGCAACAGCTGCAGCAATAAATCCTCTCTATTCCTCGTCCATTGAACCAAATAATTGCGACGAATATTTCTGCGATCTCGAGGATATCTGCCGGATGCACTTGCCATTTCGAAATGAATCCGAGAGGAATTTGAATCCGTTCCAGCGTTTTTTTTCTTGTCCCCTAGGACAAGAAATAGCACATGTGACAGGCAAATTTAAGACATTGCACATTTAAGACATTGCACATTTAAGACATTGCCCATTTAAGACATTGCACATTTAAGACATTGCACATTTAAGACATTGCACATTTAAGACATTGCACATTTAAGACATTGCACATTTAAGACATTGCACATTTAAGACATTGCACATTTAAGACATTGCACATTTAAGACATTGCAAATGCAACACTACAGTATGATGCAGTGGAAACTCATCTCATCTCTCTTCGCAAGAGCGAGACTCAAGTGAGAATCGCGGCACTTCGTCATCGCCGACAATGATTCTTAACTCGGTATTTTCAATTTTCGGGGAAAAGTCCCCACACGCTTCTTACTCTGTTTTGCACCTTGCGGACTGGAATTCCACCCAACGCCTTAATTGAATTTTTGAACCTCCTCTGCCGATCGCCCCTAAATCGTCAAATTCGAGTAGATGGCGCTTCGTCTCATCAGGTGGGGAATGGCAGGTGGGAGGTGCCAGGTGGGAAATGCCAGGCGGCAGAGACCAGAGACCGTGGAACAGATGGAGATGAACGGTCTGAGTCGACTCGAGTCCCCTGCCGTGTCCCCTGTCGTGTCCCCTGTCGTGTCCCCTGTCGTGTCCCCTGTCGTGTCCTCTGTCGTGTCCCCTGTCGTGTCCTCTGTCGTGTCCCCATAAATTTAAATATAGAATGTCATTTCAAGTAATAGTCTTTGATTTTCATCATTGACATCTCGCAATCATCCACAGAAAATTTAACATCCGAAGAGAAACTCAGCGGTTTCTTTTCCAAATGACTGCGAGATCGTGCCAAAATGCCAAGCAAAAATTCGTAATTTCGGCGAGTTTCGAGCATGCAATTTGGCTAATGACGGGATTGGTAATTTCAACCGTTGCTCATAAACACCTTTTCTCCTATTTTTATTATTTAAAATGCTACGAACATCACGAGTGTTGTGCTGGACTGGTTAAGTAACTAAATTACAACTCATTCATTAACGTAATTGAGTATAATCAGCAATTGCTTCCCAATAACAGATTTCCGTAGGATGGTCATGACCAGCAATTGAAGGGCAATTCATCGTTATTCTTTAGTCGTCATTGTGAAGCAATTTGTTGCGAAGCTTAATTACTGTTACCCATACCTCGTTTATAACAAAATACATTTCCTGCGTTTTCCCTTTCGCCTCCGCGTAAAATGGAAATCCTTCGGCCTGCTGGGTAGCAGGCCGAATTCCTCCAGGGCAGTCGGGGATGCTCGCATCGCATGACCTCGCATGCCCTCGGCATTTGAATTTCTTGAGCTCCCTTGAGCGGTATGAACCGGTCATGTGAGGTCAAGGCCAAATATTATACATATTTATTCGTTTCAAAATATTCATTTCCTATATTCTTTGTTGGAAGTATAATACCTTGATAAATAGCACACCCTCCTTGTCATTTCATTATACCCTGAAAATTCATGAAATTACTCGCGGTGTGATAGAAACAGAGAGGACGAGGGTTCAACGACTGGAAGGAAAAAGGAGAATCTGTAAAGTGAATTTCCTCGGGCGACTGGAAACCACAAGCACGGCGGCATAGGGCACGAGGAAGAACCTCCCCGCTCTCCATATGGGAGGCGTCTGTCCCCGCGCGGGCGTGCGGACTCGGCTCGCCTCAGGCCTGCCTGGCGTCCGAGCAGTCCTTCATTTGCATTTCATCGGCCTCGCGTGGTGTTGGGACTTGGTGTGTCAGCCGTCTGTGGGCGATTTTGCATCGCCGTGAAGTGCCATTTCGCCAGCATAATCTGCAAATCTGCAAATCGGCCATGGAAGTGCTTAGGAGTTTTCAGCCATTCTTTTCCAAACGCCCACGAGTTTCAGGTATGTTTTTTTTCCCTGGAATCGTAAAATCGCGTGTTTATGGATTCAAATCTGGGGTTCTTGCCTCCTTCGAGAACTTTCGGCGGTGAATCGACGAACGGCGTCCTAGCAATTTCCCTGCATTTTAGATTCCCCTTCACCTTGTCGTTTCTGTCTCCTCCGAGTCCACGAAAACGGGCCAGCACTCCACCCTTCCACCTGTCCTTGCATCCTCGTCACCCGCCGCACAAATCACGAGACTGACCGATCCGGCATCCGTTTCCCCCGCAGGAGACCGTGCGATCCCGCGAAGAGCCGTCGTCTCCGGCCTGTGCGCCGGATTCCTGCTCGCCTACATCCTCGTGATTCCCTCCAGGATGTGGATCCGCTATCAGACCATCTCCTACCTCCAGTGAGTCCTTCCCTCCACCGGCAAAAAAAACGATCTGAGCTGATCGATCGGACCAATTGCATTTCAGTCCGGTTTTCACGACCTGTGGTACCTAATAAGAGATTCGGCGCAGCATCCCCATAATCAAGGGGACTGTCGCAAAAATAAATTTAAAAAAAGCTCACAGGAGGCTGATGAAGTGGACAACATATTATCACGGACGATGATCTTATCATTTCCCAGTCAAAACATTTTTCATCCGGCCATCACTGGCATATGGTTGGTTTACGGTTGCTTTAAGCCGGCTTATGGTCGGGCATGTCCTGTTGGCCCTTCATCGGGCCAACTTTGGCTCATTGCTGGGAAACTGCACATGCCCTAACCATAAGCCGACTTTTCACTATTGTTAGATGATATGGAGGTTAAAAAAAACCGCATGAACTACATCACAGCCTTTGGCCCCCTTATCAGAGTACCTTACAATAGGAGCGTAGACAGGTACGCTCCTAATGCCAAGAGCTGAGAATATCCCAAACTACATCCCTTCCAGATGCTAAGGCATTCAGGAGCGGGATCCCATGGGAATGCAAGGACTCTTCCCGCAGGAAGCCAGAGACACCTTAGACATAATAGGACTTTTCAATATCAGTATTTAAAAAAATAAAGGTCGCGTAGCTCATCGCGGAAAGAAGGATCCTCCCGCGAAACTCCGGGCCGGAATTTCCTGGTTTATCCCAGGGTTAGGTTGCAGCGATCTCTCCATCGAAATTCGCAGGTGACGCAAAGAGTTTTCATCGAAATGGTTTCATTGCAGATCGATGCCGGACGGGATCCACGAGAGACACGACGCCTTGTACCACCGTCAGTCACAGCCGACGCTTTTCTCGTCTTAACGATCGAAGGTGTTCAAGCCGATGTCTCGCAGGTGCGGACTCGGGAAAGGGGCAAGGCGGCAAGGGGCAAGGCGGCAAGCCGCGGGTCCTCTGCTGGATCGCGACCCAGCCGGCGAACCACGAGGCGAAGGCGAAACACGTGAAAGCCACGTGGGGCAGGCGATGCGACGTCCTCCTTTTCTTCAGCTCGAGGAAAGGTACCGCGAGGAATTTTTCATTTCTCGCCTGCGAGAGAGATGCCTCCCACCGACCTCCATCATCGATGAACGTCGCAGATCCATCCCTGCCCACGGTGGCGCTGAACGTGACGGAGGGCCGGCAGCACCTGTGGGAGAAGACGCGAGAGGCCTTCCGCTACATCCACCGGCACCACCTGCTCGACGCGGACTGGTTCCTCAAGGCAGACGACGACACCTACGTCATCGTGGAGAACCTCCGTCGTCTGCTCCGAGACAGCGACCCGTCCGCGCCGGTCTACTTCGGCTGCCGGTTCAAGCGCTTCAGCGGGCCGGGCTTCATGAGCGGTGGAGCAGGTGGGCAAAAAAAATTTGCACTCACTTTTAAATCTTTTGCCAAAATCGTGATTGTTTCTTTGCAGGGTATGTGCTGAGTAAGGAGGCGTTGAAGCGGTTCGTGGAGAAAGCCCTGCCCGATGCAAAGGCTTGTCCCCTGGCCAAAGTGAAAGACGAAGACGTCGGAATGGGTCTGTTTCTCACATTCTTGCACGCATCTGGCCGATTTTTAGCGAAAAGTTTTTTCTTGAAAAAAAAAATTATTTCACACACCTCTATTCATTCGATTCGACTCGATTTCATACACTCGAATGGTCTGCTTTCGGCGCCGATTCTTTGTTCACACCGCAGCCGATTTACGCTGTTCAATCGACACTGTCAGAAATTTCTCTCTCGGGAACTGCAGAAACTGAAGCATTCGACCGAGGCGTATCATCCGTCCTAATGTTCCATTTAAAATTTAAAGATCCTGAGCGATGGGGTATCCCCAAGAGAAAACCGCCCGCTATCTCCATTCGAGGCAGCGCTGCACGTTGCCCTCTTAATTCGTGTCCAAGCATGAATGGGACAGAGTCACTTGGAATGCGTGCGACAAGGGTCAGATTCCCTCGGGGCGAAGGATCTGAGGGCGAACGCCGAATCCATTCCTCGCTTCCACCTCAATTTTTTTTTAGGGATGGGGTTTATTTATTTTAATTAATTAATTAATTAATTTTTTTGTTGTAAAGAATGAATTTATCAGAGAAATACGAAAACCAGAAGCTGAAGAACATCGCCGGCGGTGATTCCTTGCAGGTCGATGCCTGCACGCCGTCGGGGTGGAACCGGGCGACTCACGGGACGAAAAGGGCCGCTGGCGCTTCCTGCCGTACTCCCCCGGGTCGCACCTCTCTCCGGCCCCGATGTGGAACGCAGACTGGGTCCAGTGCAACGCGTTTCACCCGTACACGCAGGGGCGAGGGTGTTGCTCGGACCGGGCCGTGTCCTTTCACTACGTCTCGCCCGAGTCAATGCACGTGCTCGAGTACTTCATTTACCGGTTGCGGGTCGACGACCGGCGGTGACGCGGTTGTCGGCTCGGTCGGTTCGTGTCGGCCTGGAATGGCCTCTCGCTCGTGGGAATCGGGAAAATGTTAAATTGGAGAAAAATAATGCTGAGACGAGACTCGGCTAGGACTGCCTCAGTAGTAAGTACTAGTCAGTACTGCTGGCGTAAGTTTGAGTGAGTAAGACGTCAGGGGAAGGAGAAATACAGTCGTCCCTCGCCACTTCGCGCTTCGACTTTCGCGGCTTCATAAGCCGCGAAAGTCGAAGCGCGAAGTGGCGAGGGACGACTGTACTCGGCTTTCGAAAGTTTTTGCATCACTTTTGGCAGACTTGGAGGCCTCGGGGAAAGAAGGCACTGTGCCAAATTAGGAGTTCTTTCGTGAGTGCGAAAAGGATTTTTTGGGAAAGGAAATGGCATTTTTCCCATTATGACGGTCAAAAAGACCCTTGAAAATGATGCGTGCAATAAAAGTTTGCTCACGCGAATTTGAATCGTTGTTCCTCACCTTCACTTCCTCACGCACTTTATTCTTATTGCACTGTTTATTTGTTCCTTATTGCAGAAGTATGAAATGAGAGACATTCGTTAGCTTTCCCATTTTCCATGCTAAAAAAGCGATTAAATTATGTGAGTACGATTAAGTAATATTTATTATTTATAATTATTGAATATTGTTAAATAACAAAAACTGGCATACTAGTGAGTCTACAGCGGAAGTTTAAGCCCTTTCCCGCGTTTTCTGCTTCGAGCGACCTCAAGGATCAGCTCAGACAGGATCAGATCAGGAATATTTTAAGAACAGCATGCAAAACGGCGATTTCGTCACTCGGAGACAGTATTTCACAGAGAAACGGTGAATGGAGGTTGAAACCAACCGCAAATCACCTGAGTGACGGCAGATGTTCTGACTGGGACCCCGGGATATATCCAATTCTAATGAGGCGACTGGTCACCAGAAGGGGGCGATGGACGAGGGAAGGGGAGGAATGTTCAAGATTCCCAGAACAAAGGCAGAAATTGTATATTTACTATGACCGAGTACCACGGGAATTTCCATGGTAACGTATAATTATTCTATATATTCAACGTATTCCTTAATTGAGTGGGATATTTTGGGTAGGGAATGAATCGATTCCCTAATTTATTCATTCCATTAAGGGATAAATCACGGCATGGAAGGATATTTCCCATGATCAGTTAGAACCACAGGGAGGACGGGAGCGGGTTCAACGACTGGAGGAAAAACGAATCATCTGGAAAAGAGAAAGGAAACCGCAGGGACGGCGGCATAGGGCACGAGGAAGAACCTCCTCTCCCCGCTCTCCGCATGGAAGTTGAAGGTCTATCCCCGCGCACAGAGGGATGCGGACTCGGCTCGCCACTCCCTTTCCCGCGAACTGGGGAGGAATGTGATTAGGATTCGATTTCCCTCCGTTATGGCATCTCGCAGTGCCGTCATCGCCTGTGAAGAAGACTTCCGTCGATCTGCAGATCGAAGAAGAGATTTTTCGAAGTGGATCGTGGAGGTGCTGCGGAATTTCCAGCTTCTCTGTGCCAAACTCCGACTCGTTTCGGGTAATTTTTTCCCTTTAAATTCGATATAATTTTTTTATATAAATTTTCCGATTATCGAGGGCACCCGATAATCGATCGATTGATAATCGACTCGAGTTTGCGCTTGCTCCCTTCGGGGGCGTTCAGCGGTGAGGCTTTGAATTATTTTTAGCTTGCGAAAATTCCTGCAAGTGAAGCCAAGAAAACTCTCGAAGCGTTTCCATCTTAGCAAATACTTTTCCACTTTCAATTCTGACTTTTTTCCTTTTCGCATGCAAATAATCATCCGCAAGTGCCAGTTTGATATGGTGAAATTTTTTCCTCCTATCCCGTCATTATCATTTTAATTTCAGTCAATGCGCTTGAACTTGCGTACGGCACTGCGAAAGCCTTAATTACTATTATTAATTACTATATTTCCCGAGAGCGAGCGGACACAAAATAATGGGAAATGGTGATAAAAAGTGTTAAAGTACGCACCAAATTAACTATGCTCATGAAATTTAGCCCAGAAACTCGCAGCAGAAGGTTCAAGGGCGGAAGTTCCAAGGCCGTAGGACGACCTTGAAGAGAAAACCGGACCCGATCCCCCTGCCCCAGTGAGTGGGAGGACCGGTCGGCGCCGGTTCTCGGGTCAAGGTCATCCTGCGACCTTCACACTTTCATCCACCTTCCCACGCATTTTCAAACACATTTCACGCGACGAATTATTGCTCAATTACTTGGCGCGACTCCGTCGCAACAACTATAATTATCCTCGACAACAACAAAAACGATCCTCCCTCCTAACCCACGAAATCGGACACCACAACCTTCCACGTTGTACCCTATTTCCCTCGATCACCCGCATCCAATCCCATCCAGCCACATCCAGCCACATCCAGCCTCATCCAGCCACATCCAGCCACTCACTGAGAACCGACCGACTCGGCATCTCTCCCCCAGGGGACCGGGCGATCCCGCGAAGAGCCTTCGTCCTCGGCCTGTGCGCGGGGCTGCTCCTCTCCCGCCTCGCGTCCCTCTCGTGGATCTACCCTCGTGCCAGCATCCCCTACCACCATCGGTAAGACTTAATACACCGGCCATCCTGCTGCCGACTTTTCTGGCACAGAGCAAAGCTAACAAATTTTTGGCACCATTGAATGAGTCATTACGAGGAGCATGACATCCTCCCCCCACCCTCCCCCCCGTCACCGATGCTAAAGACAGAAGGCATGACATTTATACCTTTCAAAGTTCACATAAGCATCACCCCATCAATCGACGCCAGACTCTCATCCGAATATTCCCCCGCAGAGCGACCCATCCCGGCAACGACACCCCCCTCGGCCCTCGACCGACACAAGGCCCCCTCTTCCCCCTCTCCCCCCTCTTCCCCCCTTCCACCCCCAACCTCGGCCCCGAGACGCCGCGGGTCCTCTGCTGGATCGCGACCCAGCCGGCGAACCACGAGGCGAAGGCGAAACACGTGAAAGCCACTTGGGGCAGGCGATGCGACGTCCTCCTTTTCTTCAGCTCCAAACAAGGTAAATAAAATAAAATTAACAAATTATTATTAATATTATATATATATATAATGAAATA